TGGCAGGGATACAGTGCCCGAGGCAGGTGTTTTTTAGGCTGTACCATTCATCCTTCTTGTAACATCATTGTCTCTTCAGCCATTATGATTTAGCCTGTGGAACTGTTTTCATCATCTCTAAAAATAAAAACTATTCTCACTATATGCTAATGTATAAGAGAGCTGACTTTGTTTAGGGGCATTGAATATCTTGGTGTCTGGAATATCACAGAACTGTACTTATGATAAGACAGAACTTGGATGCTGTAATATCTAGGCTGTCCTCCTTCCCCATCATTGTACAGATGAAGAAATTCAAACACGGACATATCCTTAAATATTTAAGGGCAAAACTGGTGAGGTCCTAAGCCTCTTGACCCCAATGTCCTGTTCCTTATGGCCCACCATGCAACGACCTTCCTTGTATTACCATTATTTTCTCTAGAGAAGCATAATTTCCCAGTGGAGATTAAATAAAATGTTATAACAACAAGAACAGCATGCGTTTTGGCTAACAGCCACACTACCACATCCAAACAGAATAACAGGGCAAAGGAGAAGCTAATTCTGTTTTAAGGAAGGGCAGTATTTTCATCTTTGTCAATGGTTTGGCTGAAGACACAGGGAGGATACAATGGGCATTGTCACATTTGCGTGCCCATTGTAAAATATGAAGTCACTTTTCATAAAATACCACCTTCGATCCTCACAAGCCTGCAAATGAGGTGCAGTGTTTCTGTTTTAGAGTTTGGGGAACTCAGAGTCCTTGGGTTAAATAATTTATCTACAGTTACTAAGAGGCAGAGTTGGAAAAGGCAGTTAAGGGCAGCTCAGGGATTAGTCAGCAGCTGTGACTGGCTCGCGTTGTGCAAAGATTTATTGAGCATCCTTATTGAATGCTGGGGATATAGTGGAAAACAAGAAGCCCCCATACTCTGACTAAGTTACATCCTGGTGAATCTTGGTCCAGGGATCTTATCCTTCCCTATTCCACAAAGTTTCCTGGCTGTAACTTTTCCTTAGAGCTGCCATTGTTAAAAAGCACTTTTAAGGTGTTTCCTGCTCTTGATGGGGCTAAAATCTAGGATAACTTTCTTTGATACACTCTGAATACCATTTGAAGTAGAAACTTGATAATTATCTATTTTTTTGGGTAGTTGTAAGTCGTCAGTAGGAATAATTAACGGGCCAGATTTGGTTAGATGTTGCTTATGGTCACACGGGTGATCATTTCAAGTGCTTCTATTGGCTTTGTTGTCACATAGGCAAAGCCATTCTGTTTCTCTTACAGATTCATGGTTGGAAAGTGCTGTTCCAGAATATTTTTTGATGGTTGCTTAAATCTGCAGGCACTTCCTTTCAGAATGCTTGCTGAAGCAAATAGGAGATCTGGTTTAGAAAGGCTGGCAGACCTTAGGGCCAGGAAGCTACAAAAATATTACTCTAAATGGTCCCATTCGAGGCAGAACATAAGTTTTAGGGTTCGGAAACCTATATCAAACAATTGTAGGTGCCGGTAAGAATCTATGCCCATTAGCAGGAGTGAAACGCAGCACATTCCGGTCCAGATTTATGTACATGTATAACTTACAGATTGCTAAGTCAGCTGTGTTTTTGTATAGTGTTCAGTTGGTTTCAGTTGTTGATATAATTAGTTAGCAAACATCAGGGTGAGAGCCACAGGTCATGTGTCTCCTCGTAGGTTTTGAGCCACAGTCATGTTTGTAAAACAGAACACTGGTTAAAATCCACCCTTGCTCTGAAAGGGGAATGGACGAGAATCTGGATTGTGACCAGCTCAATAGAGTTGGTTTTTTTTTTCTTGTAATATGTTCTAAGACAACCTTCAGCCCAGGCTCAGCTGTCTTTCTCTGAAAGCGTCAAAAAGTTTAATTTGTTGGCTGATGATAATAGCTGGTGGACTGAGAGGGTGAAGCTTGTTATTTAACATAAGACAATCAAGTTTCCAAACTCCGTGATTTTTATGAAATCCATCTATTTTAGTAACTTATCATTAAAGAATAGGTACATTTGAGGAACATCATGGGTAAATTGAATCTCTGGCTTTTTTCTTCCCGATACCAGCCCTTCATTTATGATAGGGCTTTGCTTCGTTTGGTGCCTTCAGCCTTACCTTGAAGCCCCTCATTGTTCCTCTCCCCTTTATTTTTGGTTAGTTAATGGCTTGTAAACACGCGTTTAAAATATACTTTATTTATTGAAATGAACTCTTTTTAAACAGTGGTTTGTTTCTCTCCTTAAGTGACCACACTTGTAACTGGTGAGGAAGAGAATCACAGAATATTGTACATTGTTGTCTGCAAGTACATTTTTTACAATCCCTTTTCCAGTGTTTAAGTCCTCTCCAGAACATCCCTTCCTGGGGTTATCTATTATAGCCCATTCGTGAATAGCTTCTGTGATGGGACACTCACTTTCTTACAATTTTGTTTTCAAGCAACTATGTATAT